ACACACACACACACACACACACACACACACACACACACACACACACACACACAAACACACACACAGCCTCTCATCTCACTAAAAATGACTCTTGGCAGTATACAGTGTATTTTAATCATGTTAGACTGGTTCTCAATACTACTAAAAAATTTCCATAATCTTTAATTGTGCAAAACGTTAGGAAACCATAGGACAACACTTTTTGAAACAAAGTACTTCAAAGGGGGTTAATTTATATAAGGCATCCATCATCCAGGACTCATGACATCTGTGAAGTTGAAATGTGGCAAATGTTATAAAGCTTTTTATGATGCAAAGATGATCATAAAACAGTTTATGACAAGAGTACAAAATGTCAAAAAAAACATGTCCTGTGTTGATGTTTGGTTGTGCTATCCCAGTGGTCCCCAACCTTTCTGGCTCCATGGAGCGACAGTGGGGCGGTGGGGGAGATGGTTTCGCACACACAGCCTAGCGATCCTGCGCATACGAAAATGAACCTTCGCTCACTTGCTCCTTGTATGGCCCAGTTCCTAACAGCTGAGGATCGATAACAGACTGTGGACCAGGGGTTAGGGATCCCTATGCTATACATTTCAGCATAGTACCATTAGAGAATATTTGTAGCTTAGGGTTGGATTGAGGGGTCCTTGGTGCTTGATTGCTTTCTTGCAGATGTTTTTATTATCTAACTAGGTAACATCATCACTGGACATCTATAGCACTGATGATGTTACTCAGTTTGGGTAATGAAACGTCGGCAAGAAAATAACTCAGCACAAAGAGCACCATCTGTTCAACATGGGCTATTTTTAAAGCAGATACATCTCTAGATGCACCCCAACTTTTTCAGTGAAGACAGTTCATTAGAAGCTCTGTCATTGTTGAAGATGCTGAGGAATCTGGTAAGGAAATAACTCTGAAATGATGACTCCATGGGGTCATTGGTTGTCTAATGTTAGGCCTGTTTTTGATAAGAAAGCACATTAGTTTCAGTCAAATGCCAACGGACNCAACCTGGAAGCCAAAACAAGGCACAGGGGCACTGCATGAGCTCCCAAAATACAATGTGAGCACCTCCCCATGCATATACCAACCCCCATGCATGCACGCGCCCCCGCACAAGTGCGGCAGAGACCTGGAGATCAGCTGGCCAGCAGGTGGCATGTACGCATGCACAGTGGACCTGGGCTGGGGGAGGGAAGCTGGCATTCCCACAGAGAGGACTCTGTGTGCCACCTGTGGCACGCATGCCATAGATTTGCCATCACCATCTTAGGGTTTGGTATATTGGCTGACCCCTGTCTGTATCTCCCTATCATCCCAAGTCAACATCTGATTTCCAACCTATGGATCTGGCCCACCAGGATCCTCACATGAAAAAACAAGCAAGAGCTTCTGCATCAGGTGTGGCTGGGAAATGGCGTCTTGCCAAAGCCTTGTAGCGTTGCCAACGCCGGTAATTCTCATAAACTCCCTTGGAGGTACAAGCAAAAGAGGTGTCGCTGGAAGGCGACCCTTGAGCAGATGGGACAGCCTCAGGTGCTCTGTTTTTCCGACCACCTGGCTCCTCACCGGCTTTCGTCAACAACACAGTGCGGATGCCTGCACCACCAGGTCCATCCCGGCGCTGGGTGGCCCAACCCAATGGCATCCCTGTCAGGAAGAACGTCTGAGTTCGGGGCAGTTCCTCACTACCTCCCATAAGAGGTCCTTCACGTTTCAGTTTGATGATCAGCTTGCTTCCTGGGGTGTCGGCTGAGGTCACCAGTAAAGCAGCCCCAGGAAAAGCTGGTAGGAGCAGTGAAGGAACATTTGGAGGGCAGGACGAGAGGCCAGGGCCCTGAGTATGATTCTGGGAAGTCATGATCCTATAGGAGAAAGAATCTTAAAAACAAATTGAGCTGGCCAAGGAAACTGGCAGCCCTTTGCTCTCGGTGAGGTCCTGCTGTAATAACATTAGTGGAAGTGGATTGGATGCTGGGTCTTCTGGGAAATTCATGAGGCCACATCTGGTTTCCAAGAAGATCGTTCATTGTTGACTTGACTCTAAGTGCAAAGGTTGAATAACGGTTCCAGAACTTGGATGTCTTGGTGGTTCTAATAAGGGGGAGGAAGTTTAAAGTTCTACCTGCAGATCTGACCTGAATTTTCATACAGCATGTCTGTATTTATCATTGCCATTATGCGACCGTAATGGAAAATACGTTGAGACGACATGGTTCCTTCAGCCAGAAGGAATGTTCTACTCCCGCTCAACTGTACTTCCTGAGAGCCTTTGCTCTCGGAACTTGTAACCTCTTCGTCTGTAAACAGGAATAGTTTACAATAAAGGATTGGGTTCCATGATTAAAATCCATGCCCAATGTTGCCCTGTGGACAGCACAACTCTTAGCAAGGTAAAGAAGCAAGTTTTAGAAATTACTTTTGGTTCAGTTGATAATCCTTTCTCTAGCTGAGACCTTTAAAATAATAAAAATAATAATAATACAGGAGCCCTATAAAGTTACATACCTTTCCCCAAATGTGACCCAAGTCCAGCTTACCAAAACTGAAACAGGAAAAAGGGGTGAGTGTAGTTTTTGTTTGTGAGGCGCAGTTTAATACATGATGTCTTTTCTGACATCGGGCAGTGAATTGTAAGCACGTTATCCCCTGGCTTGAGGGCAGCCTAGACAGACACTTACAATGTAAACCAGTTTGAAACTGTTTAACTGTCACACGGCCTCTATTAACTGAACTTTGAAAAATGTAGTTTGGAGAAAGTAGCAACAAAACCTTCCTCCCAGAGGGTTTGCTCCCAGGTCAGAGAGTGGAACTGGGGTGCTGGCTTTGAGTGACACCTCAGAGGAAACTGACTTCTATATTTCATGGGTGTCTTCCAGCTTTATTCTACAACCAGGTTGTGTTCAAGGCAGGGATTTGAGTTGGAGAGTGATCTACGTTTATTTCATCTGACTGGAAATGGGATACTCTTCTCCTCTACTTGTTCAAACAACGGGCTGTCACAAATTAGATGATTTCTTCCAAATGCTATTTTCAAAAACAGTGAAAGGTTTGGACAAAGCTATCTTCTGTAAAAAGTGGTCAGTGTTAAAATACAGCTGTTACTTCTTTCTCTCCTTTTTATCTACTAAAATTCACCATTTATTTATGGCAATGTTTGTCAAATGTGGCAAGTTTATATACTATATATACAACTTTATACACTTTAGATACTAGACAGCATAGTATCAACATACTATAATGCTATAAAATACTAGACAACACAGTATCAATAGTAGAGGCCTTAACGTTTTTTTGGTTCTATTATATCTGAGGACCTAAAATGGACACCTAACATCAAAAATGTCATTAAAAAAGTACAACAAAGAATGTTCTTTGTGCACCAACTCAGGAAGCTCAGACTGCCCAAAGAGCTGCTGATTCTGTTCTACAGAGGAATGATTGAGTCTGTCATCTGCACCTCCATAACTGTCTGGTTTGGCTCTGCAACCCAACAAGACAGACACAGACTTCAACGGATAATCAGAACTGCAGAAAAAAACAATTACCTTCAACCTTCCTTCCACTGAGGACCTGTAGACTACATGCGTGAAAAAGATGGCCTGAAAATATTTACAGACCCTTCATACCCTGGATATAAATTGTTTCAACTCCTACCCTCAAAATGACGCTATAGAGCATTGCACACCAGAACTGGATACGAGGACAGTTTTTCCCCGAATGCCATCACTCTGCTAAACAACTAATTCCCACAACACTGCCATATTACATACTAAGAATGTATTATTATTATTGTTGTTGTTGTTGTTGTTGTTATTATTATTCTCTTTCTTCCTTGTACCTATCTCTTTCCACTTATGACTTTTGTTGATTGTATCTTTAAATTTTATATTGTTTTGTTTCCTAGTATAATGTGATTGCTTATTAGTAAGCTATGACTATCACTAAGTGTTGTGTCTTATGATTCTTGATGAATGTTTTATTTTTCTTTATGTACACTGAGAACATATGCACCAAAGACAAATTCCTTGTGCGTACAATCACACTTGGCCAATACAGAATTCTATTCTATTCTATTCTATTCTATTCTATTCTATTCTATTAAAATGTCTGGACTCCCAATTGCTGGCTGGGCAATTCTGGGAGTTGAAGCCCACACACCTTAGAAGTGGCCAGGTTTGAGAATCACTGTGCTGGAGTGGTGGGTTTACACAGCACTTTAAACTAGGGTGGTTTTGTCAACAAATCTAATTTTCTGATTTCCATAATTTAGTGAACCGTAAAAGAATATCCATGGGTGAGGCATATACAAAATGCAGAAAACACAAAACATTGGTTTAGCTAGCTAGTGTTACTGTGATGTGCAAAGACAGACACCAAAGTAATTTGGTGAGGGCTTAGTACGCGTGTGAACTCAATCCATTAGTTTATTCAACAAATAAGGCTAAATTACTCTATGTGTTAGCCCAGTTGCAAATCAGGACAACACGTGCGCCCATTTTGGTTGTTTTGTGCTGAGGTCATTATTGTTCCTCAGTCCTTGTTTTATCCACTGCCCTTAGGCAACCTCCGTGGATCTAAGGATCTCAGGAAAATTATCCCTTTCGATACTTTTCTAGTGCTAAGTGCTGCTTGTTACGCAACTACTCTGCATTTTTTAAATGCAACCACTATATTTTCTTAGCAAGAGATCCAATCAAGCGAAAAACCTCCGAAAAACACATTCTCAAAGAAGATGCTTTCTGCAGCTCCTGATGCAGAATAACGAGGCTTGGCGCGGAGAACGACTACCGTTCCCAGAATTCATTGAGGGAAAGAGACTACAACTTCCAGGAAAACACTGCGAGCCAGACAGCAACGTGAATCGTAGAGCTTGAAGCTTAATAAAACGACAACTCCCAGAATGCTCCGCTTTTGGGGCGGTCCTTAAAGTGTAAGGGGTATCCCGGAAGCGGCGTTATCCACGTGTGTGTGCGGAGTAGGAGAAGCGCGTTTTTTTGTTTCATCATAAAACAAGTCAGCGGCGTTGCGGTTGCAGTTTGGCCACAATGTTTCTGCAATACTACATCAATGAACAAGGGGAGAGAGTCTATACTCTGAAGGTAAGGCTAGATCACAACAGAAAAGAACAATAGGAGAGTTGGAAGGGACCTTGGAGGTCCTCTAGTCCAACCCTCTCTGCTCAAGCAGGAGATCCTATATACCATTCCAGATAAATGGTGGTCCAATCTCTTCTTAAAAGCCTCCGGTGATGGAGCATCCATAACGTCTGAAGGCAAGACGTTCCACTGATGTTTGTTTGTTTTTTCACACTCTCCTTAGTTCTAGATTTGCTTCCATTTATCGTTTATTGTCCAGCCTTGTGATGTTTTGGGAAATAGGTTGACCCCCTCCCCCTCTTCGTTGTGGCACACCCTCAAATGGAACAGTGCTAGAACGTCACCTCTAGTCCTCCTTTTCATTAAACCACTAGATCAGTCCAGTCTCTACAACCGTTCTTATGTTTAACAGACTAACAGAGTTAAGGAAGGGATCTTGTAGGTCATCTAGTCCAACACCCCCCCCCCCCAAGCAAGAGATTCTCCACTATTTCTGACAAATGGCAGTCCAGTCTCTTCTTGAAAGCTTCCAGTGACGAAGCTCCCACAACTTCCGAAGGCAACTTCTGTTCCATGGGTTGATTGTTCTCACTTTCATAAATAAGTTCTCACTTATTTCTAGGTTGAATCTTTCCTTGATCAGTTTTCATCCATTTGGGTGCTTTGGAAAATAGGTTGACACCCCCCCCCCTCTTCTCTGTGGCAGCCCCTCAAATATTGGAACATTGCTATCATGTCTCCCCTAGTCCTTCTTTTCATTAAACTAAACATACCCAGTCCCTGCAACCATTCTTCATGTGTTTTAGCCTCCTGTCCCTTAATCATCTTGGTTGCTCTTCTCTGCACTCTTTCCAGAATCTCTATCTCTTTTCTATAATATGGTGACCAATATGGTTGTATAATATGGCAAGCTATATGATTCCCTTGGCCAGTGGTGGGAGTCAAATAATTTAACAACCAGTTCTCTGCCCTAAAGATTTCTTCCCATAACCAGTTCACCAAACTGCTCAGAAAGTTAACAACCATTTCTCCCAAGTGGTGCGAACTGGCTGAATCCCACCACTGCCCTTGGCACTTTAGCGATTCATCCAAATGGTTGTCCTATTGTGTTTTGGTTTTTTGCAACCCTTCAGCTAATCTTGATACACCTGATAAAGCTGAAAACACAATCTTTCCGTACTATTTCTCTTAATTATCTTTTGGGAAGTAAAGGGAGATGGAGAATGATCTCCTTATGCAACTGGATTCATTTCCAGAATGTAACAATTTAAAAGTAGGATAATTATTTTTCAGGCTCTTCTAGGTCTTTAGCATGGGCTGGAAAAAGTGGGAAATGTAGAAACTGATGTGAAAAAAATGTTAGAATGGGTTTGTTAGGGCAGTGTTTTTCAACCTTTTTTGTTCAAAGGCACACTTTTTTCATGAAAAAAATCATGAGGCACACCACCATTAGAAAATGTTAAAAAATTTTAACTCTGTGCCTATATTGACTATATATAAAGTAATTCTCCCATGGCACACCTTACACTATGTCACGGCACACTAGTGTGCCGCGGCACAGTGGTTGAAAAACACTGTGTTAGGGAATGGAGTATTCATTTACTGTGCCTGTTAGAACCTTGCATATTCCTAAAGATTTCCTAAAGATAAAAACTGATAAAATTTGTGAAATATGCAATTCATTGCCTAGAGGCCTAATATTTATGTTTGTTTTATGACATTAGGGATTTGGTTGCAAAGGATGCATCCATAATAATAATTTACAATATTAATAAAGCTGAATATAAACTGATAAAATCTTACTCCATCACATGCCTAACTGTTTAACTGTGGTTGAAAAGAAGTAAATGAGGGATAATTAATGTGGCAATACCAGGGGATAGTAAAATAGAAGACCGAGAATTGGAGAAGATCACAATATATCAAGATTTGAAAATCAAAATTGAAAGATTATAGCATAAGCTCGCCATGGTGGTCCCAATGGCTATTGCCACAACTTGGTGCCACACCGAAAAAGATCTTGGATGACCCTTAGAAAATGTCCACACTGACCAACTTTCAATTTGTCAATTGCAAAAGGCCACATTGCTTGGATCCACACAAACATTACATTCATATATTATGACATTTGGGGAAAGAACTTGATGTGTGAGAAGGCCAATATCAACTAAACACTTGCAGCTGTGATTTCATATTTTGGGGTATATTTTGTGTGTGTGTGTGTGTACACATATATGTGTGTGTGTGTGTTCGTGTGTGTATATATGTATGTGTGTCTGTATATATATATATGTATGTATGTATATGTGCGTGCATGTGTGTGTATTTGTATGTGTGTGTATAAATATTTTAAAATATTTAAAACAAAGAGAAGCAGAAATTTACCCCGCAAAAACAGTACAAGCCAAAAGAAGAATGATGGCAATGAAAGCAAACCCACAGAGGAAGAGAAGGACATCAATGGTCTCCTCCACTTGTCTGAGCAAACAGCCCCTGGCTCTTTAAGGTCATTTGAAATGCCAGCAACATGGAAGCCATTCGAATTTTGGTGTGGACCTTGTATAAAGTTATAGGATAGGGATGATGAAACTTTTTAGACACCGAGTGCCCAAATTGTGTGCGTATGCCCAAACTGAATGGTGTGCATGCATAATCATGGACATGCACATATTCACAGACATGGGCGTTGACATGTGCATACATGCATGCGCCACAGAGACCTGTAGACCGGCGGGAGGCAGGGCATCCCAACACCAGCAGCGAAGTAAGATATTTTTCTTTCACAAGCTTCAGTTTCGTCATCTGTAGGGAAACAGAAGCGCATGAAAGAAAGGCCACGGAGATATGACCTGCATGTGTGCCAGGAGAGAGGGCTCTGCGTGCCACAGGTTCACCATCATGGTTATAGGATGATGAAAATACTTCTTAATCTAATGTCACTGTCTAGCTTTGGGATTATTATTTACTCTGATAATCATGGCAATTAATTTATTACATATACTTATTATATTATTCATGACTACACTTTAAATGTACAAGAAGCTGAGCTTGGCATTGTTCCAAAAGTGTTTGAAATAAGATGTTTTGAAAACTTGTGGCCAATTTCATATCATGCTAAACCAAAACCAAAGAAACAATGAATCCAGCTGCTGTAGCTTGTAAATCAGGGTTTTGGGTTTAATGTGATATATAAAATGAGCACACACACCCACACACACACACACACACACACACACACACACA